TATTTAACTTTGTAGTCCCTTCAGTTACGTTTAAAGTGAAGAAATTTCAAGAGATGCTGACACAGCTCTTATTACAGCACACATCAGTATCGCATGTGCTGCCAGCTCTCCGGGACTTGGTAAGATAAGAGCTAACTTCACGGGTGCACTACCAATGAATTCTTGTTATTTCTGTATTATGTAATTATTAACCTTCAGTTATGTCCTGTGAAAGACTATTGTCGGTAGCTGTCACTAACGTTTCAACAATTTAATGAGTTCCGCTCACATTGTCGAAACGTCAGTAACCACTACTGACAACAGTCCTTCTCAGGACTACACTCAGCCGAACGATCAAACTACACTATCACATATTACCTTCCTGTTCAAACCATTTACTGGAATACAATTTGTAATACATTTTAATAATCAATAATAATAATTAATAATTTTAATAATGCGTTTTTTTAATCTTGGATAATCAAATCCGAAGCTATCAAGCGTACAATGTATGTAAGTTATCAAGTGTATGATCGGGTCATATGCCCCACCCCTAGTCGTACAAAAGTCTACCATTCTGTAAGATCTCAGATGATCTTTTCACGGATAGTTTGAGATGTATTGACTCGTTATTCCAAAACTGATCCCTTGAACCATTCTCTTTGTTTTGAGTGTTTTACTTGACGGCTATTCTAAACCCCTTGGCCTCTCACTCACTTTCAATTTTCAAACTTTCAGATACAGTTGGCTCATCAAATGCACTTATTAACTCACCATCCTGAGCTCCTCCTTAAGGGGGACCCAACCATGTGTGCACAACTGAGCTCCCATGTTCTGGAGTCCCCTTGTGCCAGAGAGTTCCTCATCTTCTTAGGGTTTGACTTTCAAAAGGACGGTGCACATGACAAAGATCCGTTTGTTGTGTTTCCTCATTGGGACCCTGACGGGACCCTGACTATGACGTCACAAATCCTGCAGGCTGTTTGCGGTAAGTAGCGTTCACGTGCCATCAATGGTCGTGGACAAGTTGGACGTAAAGGTTATTGCGAGGCATAGGAGCAATTAGTAACTCTGCACGATGAGCTACGTTCGTTTAGTCCCTCATAAAATGTGCTTCAGTAAAGGCGCTTTGTTACATTATTTTTACATCATTTTCTTCGATAAGTATATTTGCCTTTCACGGAATAGAAACCACAATGATATGTTTGGTGATATTGAAAATCACCAAAACAGGAAGAATGAACCAGAAATAGACGAGAGTGGTTAATGATGTTGTAGACATAAACAGATAGCAAATTAAAAGTCTCAAATTTCCGGGCTAACGTTTTTTTCTAGACGTAGCTTTCTTAAGAAGTTTAAGGAAAATTAGTATTGAAAACTCGCGTAATCTCACCATTTTGTTTGCTCATTTTTTGTTTATTTTTTTTCAGTATTTATTTATATTTATTTGTTCAATTGTGTAGATATCTTGAAGGAATCTTCCAGTGGAGGTTACGCCTTAGCTAAGATCACAAACACCTTGAAGAAAAACACCATGGAAAAGCTCAAAGAATTTGTAAGTATCTCATCACTTCAGTTTACTCTGCAGCGATGAACTCTCTAGTGGAGGTGGACATATACCCACGACTGCTTCTAGTACCCATACTTATTTCAGAATCGTTCTAATACATAATGTGATTTACGATAATCATACGCTCTTTTACCCGCTTCAGCTCAGCTTAAGCAGTCGTTACCCTGAGAGGATCATGAAGACGAGTGATTTTGTCCTCCGCTCATTGTGGTACAATCCTGAGTTGCAGCAGCTCCTCGCCTCCTTTGGCTTTTACGAAGTAGGACAGTCGTTACTTTTCAACAAGACCGAAGGAAACCAGCTCATGTTGAAATCTACACTGGCTGTGGTCACAGCTTTGCTTGGTAAGGGGATAAAACCCTTCATAAATCTAGGCGCAAACTTTTAAGGGAAAGTTGTGGTAGTGGAATGTGTTTTCTTTCTTTCATTTCTTGCCTTTCTCTTCTTTCCTCCTATTTTTCCAAGAAACAACAACAACAACGAAATTTTAATCGTCTTCTTCCTCCACAGATTACATCGAGAAAGGGAAAACACGGACTTATTCGTCCCTTCGTGAGGTAAATACCTTGTGTTTCTTAAGAACAATTTTCTTGTTACTGATCTATACCGACACTATGCATCAGTAAATCCCATTCAACTTTAATCCTTTGAGAAGTGGTGACCTACTGATTGGCGCTTGAGTGCCTCCCAGTCCCTCCCACCAACGAGATCTCTAAATAGAAATGGAGAGCAGCGAACTGTCTGGGTAACCAGACGAAATCTGAGGGGGTGGGGAGGGGTGGCGTAAAATGCGATAGACCAGCATTCCACTTGAGGAGGACAATAAATACTCCATCTTCTTCATATTTTCTTCGCATTTTCCCTTTATTGATACAAGAAACAGAAACTATTAAGTATAATGTTTTAGTTGACAGCGACTTTTAAGCGACCTCATACTACTTGTAGACCTCATTAAAACAACAACAACAACGTTTTGAGAACATCACTAATATTCTATTTCCCAAACCACGTGTCATGACCATGATCCTCTTGGCCTCTTGTGTTTCAGTCTGTCTCTTCTGGTGGACGTCCCCCCAAACTTGCCTCACTCTCGCCCCAGCTCACTCCATCCAAACAGGTCAGTTTTATATTTTAGTATTCGCTATGAGACCCATGAGTGCTATTTCTACTAAGTATGGGAATGTGTGGAAAATCCAAGATTGCATTGGTTTTGCTGTACTTTACTCTATTTAGAAAACGCGCACTACACTCTTAAACTGTCACATACAAGACTAAAACCAACACGATTTCGACGCTCACTCTTCTTTTAACTTTTTAGTCTCCGTCGTTCCTTGTGGTAATTTCTATCATTTTAGTTTTGGTTTATGGGTATATGCTTCAAGTGTCTGACTTTCTCTAGCGTTAGCATCGATTTTTCTATTGATATAGCTGTGATCAACCTTCAAATTAGCAAGAGATTGACTAGTTACAAAACGAGTGAGACTGTCGAAAATAACGGTACTTACGGTAACAGTTGTATATAAAGTATGGTCTGTAGCGAAACTAGAGTGTTTGTTGGCCACCTGGTGCATAATGTTGAAAAAAAAAAAACAAAAAAAAAACAGCAACAACAATAATAGTCTATTCTTTCGCAGATTGTGATGGAGACTCCATGGATGTCTACAAAGTCTGATAGAAGTGAAAATGAATTGAAGATGGCACTTGCCAAAGAGTAAGTTTCCAGTGTCTTAGAGCTTGTATAGAGCACTTTAACTCGAGTTGCGATCATCTATGAAAATGCCTCTAAACGAAAAAAAATTGTTTGCATTGGAAAGGAGTTAAAATCCCGGAGGATTAGCTTGGTGCACCAACATGGCTGCCATTCCGTGGCATTGGTACATCAAAATGGCTTCTGTGACCTTATGGGGAACACTCCTTATCACTTTTGAGTCCTCGCTGGTTTAATTTTAAACCGTTTTCATTTTGCAAGGTGTCAATCTTTTGTTGCGAACTGTAGGATGAGATATTCTCAATCTGGAAATAGCCTTGGAAATATCATTAGCGGTTGTGATACACACCTTCTAACGGGTACTCACAGAGCGCGGTGTCGTAAACAGTTCGATTAACTTTTTTTTATTTTCCCAGATCTTTTTTTTTTTTTTGACTTAAACACATTAGTCCAATGCACTAATTTCCCCTCAAAAAAAAGTTGCATTTGATTTGAAACTGAATTTTTCTGTAGATTGGAAGGAATCAATAAAGAGTTCGCAGGTCATGTGACGATATCAAATTACTGGCATGCTCAGTTACTTCGAGCTCAGGTAAACATCTGATGATTGGTTCTTTTTACTTTTAATGTTTTAGTGAATTGTAGGATCGTCAATAAACGAGGTTAAACAGCAAGCAGCGTTAGTTTAGTGAACGTTACGGATGTCCTTTTTTCCAAAAGTAAACAGTTTTTACTTTTGTGTGCTCTTCTTTACGGAAGTTGGATGCTCCTTTATTGTCTCACGTCAAGCTGTGGCAAAATACTCAAACGTGAAGTCTTCCCTAGAATTTTTTCTCACTTAGCTCAAGTGGTCTTCTGCTCTTACCAATGAGTTTTGTAATAATGTATCGTTGATACATTAAACGATGAGAAATCGCGCCTAATAGTGTCGTTTTGGTGGGACAGGTTCGGTATAGGCTTAGTAAACCGACATACGTGTACCGTATTAAAACCTTTCCCTCTTTCTTAGTCTGCCCCCGGTTCTAAACTCCCGGTCATTGGGAGTGAGACTCAGAACAAGCCTTCAGGAAAAGCGCGAACTGTAGAAAAGGCGGGAAAAGTGAAGGTGCAAGCCGGTATGACACCCTCTTGCAACCGGCGGCTTGTAGAGGAGGAGCCACGGCTTTCAATCAACGACACCAGAGAGAGGCGCAGCGAGATCTACAGGATTTATGCACAGCGGTATGATGATATTGCCATGCATAAGCGGCATAAGGTTCGACAGTTGTTTATGTCGCAGATTGAAGATCGTGGAGAATATCACTGACACTGACAATTAGTGTGCAACTTTCTGAACTTTATCGCATCTTTTGAGCAAACTAGTTTTTTTGAAGATATTTTAAATTCGTCGCGCCCTATTAGATCTGAATTGTAAATAAACTCAAATCATTATTGAATAATGAACTACTGTTATTTTTCTGTTAAAAAGGAGATTGATGAAGACCTCATGTTACAATTTTTCAAGCAAAAGTAATCCATATTAAATTACATCAGCTACCGTCACAAACTTCAGGAAAGAAAAGAAATTTATTTCCCGGACAAACGTTAACACTCTAATATGACTTTCGCTTCTTTGTAAAATAGATCATCAGCATTCATTTTATTGTTATTTTTCTGTTAAAAGGGAGATTGATGAAGACCTCATGTTACAGTTTTTCAAGCAAAAGTAATCCATATTAAATTACATCAGCTACTGTCACAAACTTCAGGAAAGAAAAGAAATTTATTTCTCGGACAAACGTTAACACTCTAACATGACTTTCGCCGCCTTGTAAAACAGATCATCAGCATTCATTTTATTGGGAAATGTTAAGCTCCAGCATTATCAAAACAGAATGTAATTAACCAAACATCTTACAACCACTTTGACTGTGCTTGTTATCGCTTCCTTTAACAACCAAAAAATTAGTCTAGAAAGATAATATCTTAGCTGTACAGCGATTACTAGCGATCTCATACTTTAAGGCCCTCGCTGATTACAAGAATTTTAATTTGTAGATTAAAAGAGATAAGCTAGTTTGATAGAAAACGAAGATAGCTTTGATAGAATACTGAGACGAATCGATTCTAGCATATATTTATTAAGTTTGGTATCTTTTGTAGTGTAACCCAAACTCAACTTTTTTCACCGAACTAGAGTTCCGTATGTTTAACTTTTCTCAAAGTGTTGCCATGATCAGTGGCTAGACTTCCAACAAACAGATTCCAGTGTAGTAAGATTTCATCAACAGAGAGGAAACCATCAGCATTCTCGTCTGTTCCGTCGATCAGATGAAGTGTTTCGTCATGGGAATCATTCTTTTCGGGAAAGACCCATTCTCTCGCTTCTTCACGGTCCATTTTACCGTCTTTGTTTTTGTCGAACCTTGAGTGAAATTCTGCCCGATGTCGCACCACCCATGCTGGAGGTTCTTTTTCCTCGTGGTACTGGCCTAGAAATTCAGCGACGGTGATGAGGCTAAAAATAAAAAAGAAAAGATGCCGTGTCAGTGAAACCATGGAAGCTTTTGAGAATCGGGCCATCTTGTGGGAATATGCAAGGGCGTAAACTGTCGAGTATAATTCGGGCCAACGAAATAAGACTGGGGAACATAGAGCAGTGTAGGCTGAGAGTGGCTCTGGTGAAAGCTCTTGCAAGCCGGTAAGAGTGATATGTAAGAGGAAAGGTTTAAATTAATAATAATGAAAAAAAAATGGTCCGCATAATATTCATGCGTGTATTCTGTTGCGTGCGAGCAAGGGAAGTCTCGCGCGTACATCGTGTCAATATGTCCTGCGCGTCCGAATTTGTGGCGGATCAGTCACTTTAAAACGGGGCAAATTAAGTGGATTGAGTAATGATTATGATTGTATGACTGTGTATTTTTTGTATGCGATGTGTGGGAGGAAATAGACTCCCGCATTCTCTGCTTACATTCTGAAATTGTAAATCATAAAAAGAGCCAACTTTGTTGAAAAGATTCTTCGTGTTTTTGCCATACCCGTCATCATTTTGATCCACATCCTCGATGACTTCATCCAACGCAATTTCTTGCATGTTTATGTTCTCTTCCGGATGCTCAAAATCCACGTACTCGTCTCTGTTCATTTTGCCATTTTTGTCTGCGTCTGCGATGTTGAATTTGTACTCTTTTTTTCGTATTTGACGGCGTAAATTCTGTTGATTGAAGTAAAAGTAAAAGCAATGTGAGTAAAGATTTCCTGGTCGTGTTAAATAAGCCATGATTAGGAATGAAATTCAACAGGCTCGGGTTTAATCACCGTCGAAAGTCAAATTCTTCCTTTTTCGAACTTTACTTTGTAAAGTTGTTTTAGTAACTGCAGTTTACCACTTTCATATCATGATCAGTTCATTTCTTTCACACACAGGTAAAAGACTATTTCTCGCATCATTTACTCAAAAAAAAATTTTCCCTAGAATATAACCGCAACAAATGGTTAGCTGCTTTTCCATTTTTTATTTATTTATTTATTTTTTTTTTTGCACTCTGTTCTCTGAAAAATTTTGTGGACAGAATTTTAAGTTGGTTTCTTTGTCTTTCTTATCAAGGTAGAATACTGGATGTACATGCAAAACTATTAGGGGAATTAAATTTACCAGAAGAGATACATTTGGCTAATTATTTGCCGGAGAAGCAGCGAGAGAAATCGACTTGTCTAATATTTGTTTTAACCTGTTGTGATGTCGACGATGTAACATGTTACAAAGGAAAAAAAATGGAATTGAAAATATTAGTTTTCTTACAATGTGACAACTGTAATAAAATACTTACGTGGTCCTTCGGAAGATCATAATTATCCCATTCTCCGTATTCCGACTTTCTGTATTCTTCCCAAGAAATCTCACCGTCTCCATCTTTGTCCTCTTTAGCGATTCTTTTGTCGACGTCTTCGTACATAAATGCCTTTCTCTGTTTCTCTATCCACACCCGAAGTTCGTCTTCCGAAACCAGACCATCCTTGTTAGTGTCAATCATTTTTACAACAATAACTCGTAACCTTTTCTTGGATTCTTCTGGAGTTAAATGATCAAATTCCTCCGCCTCGGGTCCGAGGAAGGCTTCGTGATCGTAGCGAACATCGTGTTCCTGGTTTGCACCGAAATGCTCGTGCTTGTGAAAGTTATCTTTGTGCGGCTCTACTGCGGCGGAAAAAGGAGATTTTAAACTAAGAATTACTGAAAATGCTATGAGATAAAAAGATCCGAAGGTAACAGGTTGCATTGTCCCTTCAAAAATAACAACAGGTGAATTTCTTAGTTCTGTAGTTCAGTGAAAATCTTAAAGCCGTTTAAGGTATTTTGAAAGACTCTATTAAGAAATGTGGATACAATGTCTGAGCATCGTCAGTGATAGCATTTAAATTTGAAACAAGAATTCCCATTGGGTTGTAACAAAAAAACCAATCAGTTTTTGCCATGAGTTCGATTGTAGACAGCTGTGTAATCGCTGTCTTGTGCATTTTAATCATTACTTTGTTATCGTTCATGAATGGACAGTTAGATTCACAGCTGAGGAATATTATTGATGACGAATGCTTTTTAAAAACCCCTGACGTGTTCAATTTTTATTGAAATGAATTCGTCAACGGGAAAACTGAAGCTTAAGAGAATTTCTTAAATCTGTGACTCAGCGTAAAAATTGTTTAATTTTAAAACATAGATGTAAATGCGAACCTTTTGTTTTTCAGATATGTTCGTCGAATCATTAAAATATCAAGGTGTTCCTGGCGACGTTACTTTTTGTTTTGTTTTTAGTCTTGCTCTTTCACCAAATCCATAAACAATCGACTTCTCTGTCAACTGAAGTAATTATTTGATGGTGATTCTCTGATCTTTTTGCCGTATTTTTATTTATGTTTAATGTACATTATTTTCACCTAATTCGTGATCGTGGAAGTCGAAATTCTCCTTAAAGAACTTCCACTTCACGTCACTACAGCTGTATTAAAACAATATGTTCGCAGAATAAATAGGTTTTTTCGGTTTTCATTTTCCTTATATATGCTTATACCAAACTTGGGATTTCTTGTATGAATACTTTTGAATGTAAGCACCGATATTCAAGACAACATACCCTTTGCGTGGATTACAACCAATTATTGTTATTGGTAGGTTAGTCTATTGTTGACCCATTGATTACTTGTTAAGCTTTTATTGTAATCTATAATGTGATTTGCGGTACATAGGAGCTAATTCTAAACGTCGGTTCTATTGTAAATCTTTGTTTCCAGGAGATATTACTTCGGTTTTCATCGAGTGAGTTTAATTCCTCTTTTTTAAGCGCGACAACAGAATTTACAAGATTACTCTCTAAAGGAAAACGTAGTTTTACAAATAATTTTGACGGAGCTTTGGAAACAGGTGTTTCGACCCGAATTTTCATTCCCTTTTGCGTTTGGATTCAAATGTTTTAGTTGAAGAAACTTACCGTCATGTACCATGATTTTTTCAGCCATTTTGTGTTTTTTCCAACCCCACGATGCATCGCTAATGATCATTTTTGTGTGCGTGGACAAGTTAAATCTTTTATCTTGGGCGTAGAAATATTGAAATATTTCATTCAAGTCGCTTTTCTTTGTTATTCCCGAAGTATATGGTGCTGTTTGCAAGTCGCTTTTATTTGTTACTCCCGAAGTATGTGGTGCTTTTCGTCATTAGACTCATGACGTACGGAACTATCCATGTTTAATAGTAAATTTGTTAAATATTAAATTGGTCTTAGTGATTCGCAAGGACTCGGGGTTTTTGATTTAACGTTACCCGCAAAGAGGCAAAGAGATTCCTTTCTTGTCGAAAATAAGAATATTGAAAAGGGTTGTCAAGAAATGAGAATTTTGGTTTTGACAACATTCAAACGGATTAACTCAAGGATCGTCAAGACACTCTCAGGAAAAAAAGCCTTCTCATTTCAAAAGGAAGGTTCGTGCAACTGTGGTCTATGAGAGAACTTACATAAAGAGTCAGCAATTTACAACTGAAGAAAGTAAGTCAATAGTAATGACAACAGCCCGTTCTTGGGCATTTTGAAAAACCTATTTTTTGCCATATACGTTCAGCACCACATATGCAGACTTAGCAACACAATGGTCACACCTTATTCAAGGCTTCTGTTCAACTTGTTAAACAATAACAGTTATTACCCAGTTTAAAAACTCACGACCCAGGAAACCATCATCTGTTGGTGGGTGTTGACCAACAATTGACTGGGAACTCCCCCAAATTTTGAATCTGATTGGGTGAGAAAGTAGTGTGAGTTTTCCAGATCAATCACATGGGGAAGTCAAGGAAAATC